CGTGCGCCGCTCACGTGGCGCCGCCGCCGGATCACGTGGCGGGCGAGGCGGGGCGGGAATGCCTGAGGGGGGAAATTCCTTCCCGGAGCGGCGGCTCCCAAACTGCCCCGGTCCCCGCCTTGTCGGCGGCCCGGAGCGCTGAGTGCCACATCTCCAGGGATGGAGACTCCAACAGCTCCCTGGGCAGCCCCTTCCGAAGCCTGACCGCACTTAAAATGAGGAGATTCCAACCTGAACCTCAGCTTGAGGTCGTTTTCCCTTGTCATGTCCCTTGGAGCTGAGCCTGAGCCCTCCGGCTGCCCCCTCCTGTTAGGGAGTTGTGCAGAGCCAGAGGGTCCCCCCGAGCCTCCTTTTCTCCAGGCTGAGCCCCTTCCCCAGCTCTCTCAGCAATTCCTGGAGCTCCAGAGCCTTCCCCAGCTCCCTCAGCAATTCCTGGAGCTCCAGAGCCTTCCCCAGCTCCCTCACCCACTCCTCACAGGATTTACGATGGTTTGAGTTGAAGGGACTTTAAATCCCACCTCATCCCACCCCCTGCCCTGGCAGGAACACCTCCCTCGGTCTCAGGTTGCTCTAAACCCCTGGCCTTGTTCAGCCCTTGTTCAGCCTGGCCTTGGACACTGCCAGGGAAGAGGCAGACACACTGTGCAGGTGTATGAGGGGCAAAAAGGGAGGGCACGTTGAGCTTTTTTCTAATTATTCAGCCACCAAGTTGTTTTCTGTGCAGCAATGAAGGGTGAGGGGCTGCCCAACGAGGCTCACTGGCTATGGTATCACACTCAGACCCTTCTCATCCATGCCTTGTCCCACCCGTGTCCTGCTGTGCACCCTGAGGATGCTCAGGTGGCTCTGTGCAAACTTATCCACAAAGCCACAAAGTCTTATCCCAGACTTCTGATGGAAGCCAGGACAATCCATGGCTTGCTCCCTACTGAAATTGGGTGTTTGCGGCTTCTTTTTTACAGTTTGTGGTCAAGCAATAACCCAACACTGCGAACAAGAGTCTTCCCAGGTGGACTCTGGGCCAAGCAAAATACACATCTGGGCCAGATGTCTTAAATTTTCCTGCTATAAATTGCAACAGCTCCCCAGCTTTCTGCCATAAATCCAAGTGAAGCATCTCCCTTGGGATCTGGTGTTTAAACTCGTGGCAATAACGGCTCTCTTAAAAAATTATGGACTTATACAAAGGATAATGTACCTCAAGGATGCTGCGGGAGGGAAAAAGAGATGGACAACATTTGGTAGTTACTTTCACAATTTTATTGATATCCCCACTCCCCGGTAGTGGAGTTCTGTAGCTCTATTCTTTGTGCAAGGACTTCTCCTTCAGATTTCCCACACCATGCAGGAAGGAATTATATTTGTTCCGTCATAATAATAAAATCTGTCCACAGAAGCTGTAAACATTAATTTTAGAGTCTTTTGTTACTGTCTCCTTCAAACTCACACACGCGCACACGCACACATGCACACAGTATTTGTATCAAAGAATTTCTGAGTGACCTTTGACGTGCAGTCCCTGACTCAATCTCACACTTTTTTTTTCTTGTTTTCCTTTTTTTTTTTAAGCAAAAATCCCTTGATGTGAAAGTTTTTTGTGGCTGATACCTGACAGAGTCATCATATTCCCATGCTTCCAGCCCCAGTGGAGCCTCTTTCCTAGAAAATCCATGGAAAATTCCCTGTTATAACCCCACAGGGATGTTAAAGCTTGGTGAGGTGCAGCTCTTGGTCTGAACACGTGCACAGAGAATCCCGACCAGGGACACTGGGAATGTTGGAGGGTGTTTTTCCCTCCCACCTGAGCAGGAGCAGGAAGGGAAGCCCCAAAGGGAAGCTCCATCTGTTCGTTCCTGCCCCAAACCCTCCTCCCTCTCAGCTGCGGGGCGAGAAGCTCCTGGCTTATCATTAAGACTCTTCTCAAGTAATGCTTTCTTTGGCTCACAAATAAATCAAGGACAGCAGTAAAACCAGAAAGGAAAATAAATCTTCTGATGGATGGCAGAGAGAGTAGATTCTTCCAGCTCTCTGCTTTCCACACTTCAGTTCAGTGACACAGAGAGTTTTCAGCACTTCCCAATTTATCTGTGCTCGTTCCATGCCACATCCAGCAGCTGGAGGGTCCCACACAGCCGACCCCAGGCAGGATTTTCAGGGCTATCAGTCACTAGGAAATCCAGGCCGTTTCACAGAAATTCTCACTTCCCTTCCGACAGGCTCTGAAGGATTTTGATGAGGTTCTCCAGGCCAAAAATGTAGCCGTGGTCTGGCCCATCATGCAGGGTGGGGTTGGGGTTGCTCTTGGAGCCTTTGAAGGTGGTGTGGGCAAAGTCTATCATCCTCACATCCACCCTGGAGGGGTTCGTGCCGTGAGTTTTTGGGAAGGGGAGGTGATGATCCGCACTCTCCTTGTACTCCTGCCCGTCATAAATGATGAGGAGCGAGCTGGAGTAGAACCTGTAGGAGCTTTGCTTCCGGATGACAGCGAGCAGGGCCTTGAGGCGCAGGACGATGGGCTCCAGCAGGTCTGTCCGCAGCTGGTTCCCGTTGCACAGGAACTGGCGCAGGGTCTGCCGGAATCCCTCCGGCGAGAGCTTCCTCCCGTAATATTTGTCTTTGCACAGGAAATGGCCAGTGTCTGCCTGGTAAACCTGGGAGGGAAGAGAGGAATAATCCATAAAATCATAGAATATCCTTGATGCCTGGAGAAGGCTGACCTGGAGCAGAGGCTGGACAGAGTTCAGAATAAAGCTGGGATTTATTGGAGGGCCTTAAAGGACACACCTTGGGCAGTACAAGGTCCTGGCCAGGGCTGCACCTAAGATGGACCTAAAAATGGTCACAAAAATTGACATCTGGTTATGAGGTCTCACATTTTTATAAGTTTTGGTCCATCTGCATATTTGGGTTAATTGTCCAATTACAGCTTCAGGTTATGAAGTGTCATCCTGCTTGTTTTCTCTCTTCAGTCCACTGTTGTTGATGCTTTTGGGCCTGAAACTTGTATTGATTGTCCTTGGTAGCAAGCTAGAAAAGGAATTGTTTTGTCTATCTGCTTTGTGAAGAGAGCTCACTAACACTTAATATGAACCTTAAAATTATACACCTAGGCACCACAGAATATAAAAAATATAAAGGCTAAAACTTACAGCATCATCCTGAGTTGTGAGGGATTCATGAATGATGCCTTAAGATTTTAGCCTTTATATTTTTCAAATCCTGTGCTGCATTAGTTCATAACTCTAAACTTCTTATAAAGTGTTAACTACTTTGGTAGTTAACACTGACACACTTTGGTCAGATAATTCCTCTGGGCCTGGAACCCAAGGACATCCCACAGCCTCAGGCCCTGAAAAGTATTAACAAAAGTAATTGGAGGGTAGGAAACTGGGGGAATATAACTTCATTACCTGTAATTGGAGAATTAACCCCTGATATGCAAATAGACCAAACTTATATCTGTCTGAAAAACCTGTGACCATTGTCCATCTTGGGTGTAGCCTCTGGGAGGCTTTTGACTGCCAAAGGTGTATCTGTTGAAGAACTTTAATAAATATCTACTTTATTCTCTTAACTTAAAAGGACATAGGTTTTGAAAGGACTTAAAATGACATAGGTTTTGACTTTACGTATTTTGCTTTACATTCTATTCTAATTACTCTCAATTGATCTTTCAGGCAGGGTTTTGAAATCTGCTGGAGAATAGTGGCTGAGGGAAATGCAATGTGTTTGGGTTTCCAGGAGGAAGGATGGAGATTTCCAGCAGAAAAAATTCAGTCCAAAATGAACCCCTGGCTCTCAGAGCCCCAAGATGGGGCAGCTCAGCCAAAGCACAAGTGGGGCAATGTGGTGCTTTTGGGGTTTTTTTCATGCAACAGCCAAGAGCTGAGCAGGAATCTGTGTGGAAAAGCAGCTTCTCAGATGGAGTGAAGGGTTCCAGCTGCTCCCACTGGTGGCAGCGGCACAGAGGAAGGGTCACCCTAAATGTGCTATATTTGACACCCTCTCTGAAAGGCCACTTTTTACAGCCCATGTTTGGGGGGAAAAGAGAATAAAACCTCTTTAATTCACACCAGCCAAGCTGGAGATTCCAGCTTGGTTCCAAGTGAGGAACCAAGGGGGGAACCAA